GTTTTCATCTACCTCAGGTAAGTTTAGTTCTATGCTGTAACATTTTTGCTGGTAGTAAAGAATGTTTTCTGTTGCTGTTGTGTCAGGTTAATATACATTTATAATCTAAATCACATATAAACAGTAAGAACTAAAGTTTTGTCTTATACAACGGTATCTACCTACCTTGAAAGTGCTATCAAGTGAAGTGCCTTCCATTATTTTAGAAATGTGGCATACCTCTGTGGCGTTCTTTCTTGAAGTGGATTGTTTACCTATATATTTTTGGAAAATCTTTTGAGTGATATTGGGGAACCCACATGATTCCATTCCATTCCTCCTCAATTTATAAACTGAATTTTCTCTCTCAGGGTAACATATTCATTCCTCTGCCATTCTGGTTAATGACAAAGCCCTCTTTAATGCTGGAATCGTTGGCTTCTCTCCAAAGGTATCAAGCTTCATTAAGGAACAGGCACAGGAACAATTTCAGATGATAGTTATTTCTCTAAAGGAAGAATTTTATTCCAGAGCAGATGCATTAATTGGAGTCTGTCCAGAGGTACATAAATCTTCATTATAACTCTCCTGTGATTTCATTTAAATTAGCTTCATATGACAATTAAGTTACTTTTTAAACAGTATCAGCTACTGTTACTGTTTTTCTTTAGAACACTGATCTCTGCAATTCTTTTAAAATTCAACTTTAAGTATGTTTTTGTTGGGCAACTCAAACATTTGGCTGTTATACAGACTGAGTAAGAAGGGATCCTTCTGGTAACCTACAGTATCTTATGATCAGTTGTGGCATGCTTATGTTAATATATATGCTGAATTTTGTAAATTGATATGGCCCTTCCTCTTTTCAGCAAGATGACTTCATGTTTAGTCGGGTGTTCACACTTGATCTCACTGCATATCCAGATACTGAGGACAATGAAAGAAGAAAGAAACAGAGACACAGCTCCACACTGGACTAAAAGCTTTGGTAGTTTTAGGACTATCTTTGGATGAAGATATATTAGAATTTCTACAGTCTACTTTATGACAAGTTTCTAAGTTTGTATATTGTTACCAGTACATTCATATACAAAATCCATGAAGAATTTCATTTGAATTTGGGAAGGAACAAATGAATGTTATAGAGTATAAGCATGTCCCCATTTTGTTAAAAATTCAAAGTCAGCTTTTGAAAGATCACTGAAAGTGCTGGATTCTAGTGACTAGAGTCTAATGTCTTTAAAATGTTTGTTTTAAAAGGAGCGATTGCAAATGTCATGATAATATAAAATCTGGTAAATTAAGTGTGTAACACACGGCTGTTTACTGGTTGCTGCATCAATTTTCAATAAGTGTCTGTTCTTAAAATGTTTTTTCTGTAACTTCTAGTTCCTTAAAGTTGAAAAGGATGGATTTTTGTTCTAGTTAAAAGGCTAGATTTGAGACAGTTAAGATGTTGGAAAAAGTTGCAGCACATTTTTACTCTTTAATCTTACAGGAATGTTTCAGCTTTGTTGTGGTTAAAGAAACAACGTTCCATAGTTTACTTTCTGAGCCTCTGCCTTAGAGAAGCAGGGGAAGAGATGCTGTCTTCTAACACTTGTGAAAACCAGCTTCACAAGAAATTTCACTCTTCCTGAAACTGAATCCAAAACTTCCAAGTACTATGACATTTTAGATTTGGAAACTGATCTTAGCTTCATATTATATGGCCATGTTGACAGTTCAGTATCAGAGCAATAGCTATAGAAATAAATGCATATAAAACAAAGAGATGGCAGAGCTATATACACATATACACACAAACACAGATACATATTCAGGGAAGGCAATATTAGTGTCAAACATACATGCAGCTCTCTCATCTCTCCTTTTATTTTGCTGACAGATGACTGAAAATATACAGCCAAGAAAGCTGAAACTAGGCAAGGCCAAATGGTGATACCTTAACTCAGTCTGAACAATTTACACCATAAGTAGTTCCAGTATAGTCAGTAGGACAGTTAATGGAGCAAATTACTCCATGGGATTAACAATGTTGCTCTGATCCTTCTTTTTTTTTCCTGGGGATTACAAAACTACTAAATTCCATAAGAGCTACATTTTAAGAGACCAGTTTTCATTATCAGTCTTTACTGCATGACTTCATCTAGTCTCCGGGCTAGTAAACTTTTGTGACAGTTCTTTAAGGCTGAATTAACAAACACGCTTTCAAAATCTTTTGGTTTTTCTAGTCTGATAGACCTCAAATGGAAGAAATGTAGTTAAAGCAACAGCATTACCCTTAGTCATAGTCCTAGATATTTTTGGGTTCTTGTTATACCTATAGACCATTGTTAAGATTTCAGTGCTGTCATTACAAGTTCTTAATTTTGCATGAGTTCACAGCAGTTTAACTGGTTGTAATCTATTTCTTATTCCACACAATGTTGAATTGCCACTCATTGATTTTTACTTAAGAGTAGACTTTTCTAGTCTGTCTGCAAGAAAAACTAGAATGAATATATAGCTCAAGACATAGGAAAAACTTAGAATGTTGCACAGACTGGTATGCTTATTTTGACAGTTTTGATGATGTAGTTTCAGCCGTAAAAGGCACACCTTTTTTAAGATGTGGAGAACTCTCAAGAAGCAGATGACATATGAATTTATAAGTTATTAAAAAAGGCTTGTTAAAAATCTGGTGTACAGTTTTTTTAATTGTAGAATGTAATCAAGTATGCATTTTTGAAAGGGGTGTGATCATTAGCAACCACAGAACAAACAAAGGCACTCTCTCAGCTCCTGCCAACAAATTTACCGATGCAACAAACCTAGTGTTATGCAAAGACCAGAAATCAGGTGCACAAACCAGTGTTTCATTTGCAGCAAATGTAAAGACTACATTTACAATATTCACTATGCTTAAGGAATCCAGTTGGTTGACATTCACATTACTCTTTACGCTTTCACAGTGCATTGTGGGAAAATGGATGTATCGCCTCTAGTACCTGACCAAGGAATAATGTGTCCAAAACATATAAAATGGCATAAAATAAACACTGCATATAGGTATTATTTAACTTAACAAGTGTCACATCCTACTTACAGAAGGATGTGCATTTGATACTCATTTGCTGGAGAAGGTGAAACACCGATAGCTGTCATCCTTATTGACCATGTTTTATGAACACAAGTCATATTTAGAACCAGTCATGTCATTGATTTGAATGGCTTTAGAAGTTGTAGTCCTGGATATGCGAGTGATGAACAGGAGAGAGCCTGCTATTGTTCATTTTCCCTTGCCAGTTTGAGCTTGCATTTCAGAGGCAAAGCTCAAATGCACAAAGCTACACTATACTAGAAGTAGAAAGTTTTTCTGATTGCTGCTTTATGCAGCGTTTCCTTCTGGATTCTTCAGTTTCTATCTACTGACCTTGGGTTCAGAATTAGAGGACTAAACAGTCTCTTAGAAGAAACACCATGGTGTTCTGTGCATTAGCTAGCAAGCACTGGAGAAGAAAAATAATTTTAAGTATTTATTTTTTTTTAAGTTAAAATAGTGCACAACAATAGTGCCCTGCTTCAAACCAAGCAAAGAGGTTGAGAATAAGGCTATCACTTCTCTAGTCAGCACAGTAATCATAGGGCTGTAAGAGGGAAACAAGGAGAATAAGTAATGTGTGCACACCCCATATCACACACATGATACCTCCATGGCTGTCTTTTCTGCACAGCATGCTCTTAAAGTGCTTACTGCATGGAGCCCTGCAGGCAAGGAACAGTGGCTGCTGGAAAATTCCAGGCGGGGTTCGGCCTAAGCATGGCAGTGTCTAAACTTGAGTGGTTCTGAATGTACCCAGTAGCAAAAACTCAGGTGCACAAGTAGCAGCTGAGCAGGAGAGGGCCATCAGGGGCTTTGAAATGTTGGGGTTCAGGGCTAAATGTAGCAGTTCAATGCCTAAATTCCCCTGTGGATCTAGCCTTTCAATGCTTAACCAAACCCAATACACCTTTGGTCTTTTGCTCCACAGAACAAAACATGAAGAAAGGGAGCAAGGTTTAAAGAACCCCCATAGCCCCAGCTCTAAGACAGATCTGAATTGTGCAAACAGATTTTACATGTGGCTGTCTAAGGTTCCAATTAAGTAGTGCATTTAAGCACATACTTATTTTTAAAGAACTGAAGTGGTTCCACTGTCTTCTACTACAGGAGGTAACAGTGGCCTGCTTTAATTCTATAACAATGAAAATTTCTCTAATAAGATAATGACAGTGTATCCTGCCCATCATCATACACAGTGGGTGTGTCTACACATGCAGTAGACTGCTTCAGCCTACTTAAGCATAGTTATTTTTAGCTGCTACTTTGCAATAGTGTCAGCATCACGGTTTGTGCCTGGCAACACTACATCATAGTAGCTCATTGCTATGGCAATGTAGCATCTTGTGTAGACGTGCCCACTGAGGTGCATTTCCATTCCAGAGCATAGCTTGTAGTTCAATGAGTCCCATTGCACAGGATTTGTTAACACTTTTCAATTGCACCCCTTTCCCTCCCCCATGACCTGATGCTCAGTAAAGGTGCCAGGCTGACAAGTGAAAACTGACACACACAAACTCCAGGTGTGACATTGGTCAGTCCACTACGGTGCTATGTGCTATGCAAACATACCAAGGCAGTTCCTGTTCCAAAACAGCGTATAGTTAAAGGCCCAGATCTGGTAAGCAGCTTTCTGCTGACAGAACTGGGGGCATTAGACTCCAATAGGCTTAATGCAGGTTGTCAGTTGGGTGTATCAGCTAAGACAAAGAAAAAAACATTCATTTTAAGTGGGTCACTGATAGCCACATTACTAATAGTTTGAACTGTGATAGGTAAGCTTCTCCATTTACACTTCTTTACAAAGCACTACTTAAGCCACTAGACAAAATTGTTGAGAGCTGCTGAATGTTTTAACTCCACTTTAGAAACAGAAGTAATTAGCTCTACAGCTTTTCTCTATTTCCTACCTAAGCATCTGGGCATGGCACTTCGCTCATTAGGTGGTGAGAATACCATTGTCTGATTGTTTGATTCTTTTAGAAGGATTTGTGCTATTTTCTCCTAATTTTCTCTTTGTGTAGTCCTTACATGAAGTCCCTGGAAGGAAAAAAAGAAAAGAAAAAAAGACTAATCAGAGAAGTTGTAGGCAGCTGTTTGGTGTCCTTTCAATTTTTTTATACACAAGATTACTTCAATTCTGTGCAAATAGTACTTATCCAGTTGGAACTTTTATATTGGGATTTTATCCAATGATCTCAACTTTTGCCATAAAGGAAGCAATGCTTGCAGAGATCTGATGCTCCTATATCTGTTACAAATGGGTTATTCCTCATCTTCTAAGCACAATGGGGATCTTTATACATGCACTGGGGATGGGGAGGGCACTTTAAGTAAAATGGTACCAAGAACTGCTCTGATTAAAGGTGCCCACAGCATCTCATGTATTCAGCATCCAGCACTTCAAAGTGGCAGTGGGGGCACTTTAACCAAAGCTCATTCAACAAGCTTTAGTTAAAGTGTACCAGCCACTATTCTGAAGCACGGGGATGCTAAATGCATAAGATGCAGAAGCTGCTGGAGCACGCTAATTAGCACACTCCAGCAGACTTGATTAATCAAGTCTGCTCCAATGTGCTATAATTACAGCGTGTCGGAGCAGTGTCCCTGCATGTCTACAGGCACCCTAAGGTATTTTTAACCTCTCTGTACATCCAGCAGGTAGAAGAGCTGTTCAAAGAACTGACTGCCTCCCTTTGCTTTGTCTTCATTCTAAACAGGAGATAGTTCCTTGACAACTGTCCTCTCCCTCTCACCAAACAAGGCCATTCCTATTAGTATAATTCTCCTTCTCCTCAATGCCTTCCTGATAGAAAGGATTTTTGAGAACAGGAGTCTATGGCAAACTGGTGGATGATGAGAAAACATGACACTGTAGCAGAAACAGCTCAAATTAAAGAGGTTCCTGCTCCGGGCCAACCATGCAAAAAGGTCTGTCACCTTTGTAATTGAACAGCAATGTGACAGGCTTGAAACTGTTTGGAACAGAAATGCAGAAGATGGTGCAGCAAAAGTCTCCAAGACAATTATTTTTGACTCAGTCATAGTTTCTACTCAGAGCTCCAGGCTGAACTGAAAAGTAGCAGCAAGGCCTGAATCTCCAAGACTAAAACAGATGTCACATTTGTCCTGGGGCAAACCATTTTATCCCAGGACAAAAAGTGCAATTGTGCAGACATTCATGTTTGTTATCCTGAGATAAATCCTAAGGAGGTGCACAAGATAAGAAGTACAAGTTTATTTCAGGACATCTCAAAGCGCATCTGAATGGTTATCCTGGGATTGCATTATTGAGTCAATGGCAGAAAAGTGGCAGTGCGTGCAGGCACTCGCTAAACCCTGATTAGAAGAGTGATGTGTGTACATGCCGATCCTGGAATATTTCTGTTCTGGAACAAACACAGGTGCATCTTGTCCAGGAACAAGTGCAATGTCTATTTCTAGCCCAAGAGCAGCAACATGGCAGGCTGTATTTTATCTGCTTGGGATCTAAAATTCAGCAAACAGAATTTTCGATATTAAGGGAGTTGTATGTATTTTTACAAAAACAATTTACTCCTACAGTATTTGTATGGTGTTAAGCTGCCCAATTGCCAGCCTTTATTTTCAATGACCTTCTGGGAAGCCTATCCTAGCTTACCCTTTTCCAGAGTTTTTGAGAATAAAGATTATATATCTAATAAATGCATTTATAGATGTAAGAAAAAAATAAAGACCTCTCTTGGGCTTCACCCCTGGAACAGAATAAACCTGACATGCTGTTTCTTCCTTACTTATGGCTCTGCAGTCATTTCTTCATAGTTTCATGGCTGTTAGAGGCTGGAAGGGACCTTACACATCATCAGGTCCAGCCCCCTTGCACTTGGGCAGGAAAGACTGCTGGGATCAGATGACCCCCAGCAAGATGGGCATCAAGATGCCTCTTGAAAATCGCTGCAGTGGGTGACTCTACCACCTCTGGGGGGGAAGCCTGTTCCAAACCCTCAACACTCAACTTGTAAAGAAGTTCAGTGCTGACAGTTTGGAACACGTTGAGACCGAAGTGGTCTTCAATCAGTCTATGCCCATTATTTCTTGTCCTCCCCCAGGGGGCTTGGTGAATAGATGCTCCCCTAAGCCCTGATGTATGTCCCTGATGTACTTGTAGGCTGCCACCAAGTTCCCTCTGAGTTTTCTCTTCTCCAGGCTGAACAGCCCCAAGTCTTTCAGTCTCTCCTCAGATTACCTGGTCTCTAGGCCTGTATTCATGTGTGTGGCCCTCCTTTGGACTCTCTTGAGCTTCTCCACATCCTTCTTGAAGTGTGGTGCCCAGAACTGGATGCAATACTGTAATACTTCAAGGGTTCAGGTGCCCCCTAGTCTCACTTGCTGCTAGCCAAATGGCCAAGGACCAAACCAGGAAGAAAGAGATAATGCAGTCCCCCATTACCATAAAATTATACAGTTGAGTTTCCCACAGTTGGGGAAACTTGTAGGGGTCAGCCTGCCCAGAGTGCAAAGGGCAAACCTCACCATACACTTGATCTTACCCCAAAAAGTACTTTTCTTTGTCTATTTAATTTCATGTTTCAGGCCAAATTAGCCAAATCAGTTCTGAACCCAATTAGCAACTGAACATTCAACTCTGTGTGGCACTACCATTGGCAAATATCCTCCTTTCCAGGCTCTTCAGCCTGGGGCTTCAGATACCCCCAAATCCATGGCAGGCATCCTATACACAGGCCCCAAGCCCAAAGGTCAGTTCAGATGCCCTGAGTTGGGGCATCTGAAGCTCTGCTAGGCAGAGGCTCCAGTGGGGGGGCAGGACCAGGCAGGCCTTGCTGCTGAGCTCCTTAATCCTGCTTCTGGCTGCCCCTGGGTTTTGCTACCCCTGGCTCCTATCATCTTTTACAGGCAATCAGGAGCAGATAAAATATTAATTTTCTAAATTTTTTAGGGGCCCTGCAGGCCAGATAGAATGGTCTGGTGGGCCAGATGTGGCCTGCAGGCCATATTTTGCCCACCCCGGTGTAGTGGAAGAGGGGATGCTGAGGTCACTTGAAAGAGTTGGTGCTGAGGGGGACTGTGCTCAATGAGCACTCATATATCTTACTAATAAACACATGCTGCTTTCAGCAGCAGTTCAAAAATAGGCCATGTATTTAATGAGGTTTATTTGTATGCAAATAGAAGACAAAGGGCTTTTCCCCCCATGCTGATGGGGGTGGCAGGGTGGGATCATCTTATATTCAAGTAAATACATAGTTCAGAAGTTCAGTAAGGCTTGTGCCCTCTTTTGTAGTTAAAAAGCACCCCTAAAACATTTAAGGAAACGGAAACAAACCATGGACTTGTACCATATAAACTGTCTAAAACAAGACACACTGACTTTTAAAATGGGCACATCCTGATAAGCAAGTTCTTTTGCTTCATAGATCCCCGCCCCCAAGGCCAGCAGATAGGAAGTTAAAGACAGCACTGCAAGACTCATTTCACCAGAAGTTCCACCTAGTACCGATTTTGTCTAGGCTAACCAAAATGTGTGAGGTCCATTCCTCCTTGGAATTGAAGACTTTCTGATGAATTTCTCTTGTGAATTGTCACCAGTCTTCAAGAAAGCCTGTCTTCATGGGCGATTGACAGTACCTGGGATACAATTTGGGGTGTAGCCTTTGGCTTTTCTCCTGTTACAACCTCTCGATTCTTCTGCTTTATTACCTGTTTTCAACAGAGCTTATTAATGCCTTCTTAGTGGCATAATAAACACTTCCATTTTGCTTTGATTTCTTGCTATCTAAGACTTCCCTCCCATTTATGGAGATTTGTTTTACTACTGGCTATTTTCAAGTTGTAATGGAACATGGAGCACCAGGTGCCTGCTTTGAAAATAGTAAGTACATTTTACACTTACTGGGCACAATGCTGACCAATAATAAATGGTTCCATCTTCAACCTAAATGGTTCATAGGTGGGAGGAAGGTTGTCTTTTCCATCATTACCTGGGCTCTAATAGTTAAAGTAGGAAACAGCTGCCCTCCCTCTCACTCCCTGGTTGGGAACAGAGATTCTCAGGAGTATATTTTTATTTTTGCAACAGGTCTCATCTCTGCAGGTAAGAAGAGACTCTTAACCGTATCAAGAGGAACAAAAGAATTCCTGCTCTGAACTATTTCAATTTATATACATGTCCAGTTGTTTATGTTTCAGAGTGAAAAATGGAAGATACCTTTCTCCACACCCTTGAAACCTAAGATTTTTGAGTAATACAGGTTGGTATTAAGGAATCATTTTGTTTTTACAGTTGTTACTTCAAGGGGTTTCAAGTGAAAGGAAGTTGGACATTAATCTTCCTGCAAGGATACAGCTGGTGGATTACATGTGATATGAAATGAGAGTAAGATTTGTTTGGTACTGTATGTTCAGGTTCTCCAACCCCGCCAACCCCCAATTATGTCCCTGGTCTGAAAAGAACAGTGGCAGAGATATAAATGCATTAGGAACAGGTCTCAAATCTTACGCCTGTCTTTCAGTTTCCTTGCCAATTTTGTATTATTTTTAACAAGTCCCACAGAAAAAATGGGAAAATAGGTAATTAGATCAAATATATTACAGTGAAAGAAACCCAGCAGGAGGATGTTTAAAAGAATTGGATCTCTTTCAGTTTGCAAAAACAGTAGAAAGAGCTCTTAAGGAAAAGGCAATTTAAAATTAAAATAAATTTCTTTGTGCCATAGATCTAAACACATTATTAGCGTATCTGTCTTTAGTAAGGAGGGATACACTATGAATGTATGAACTCTGAACAGTGTTTTACTGCTCTTTTACTTCTCAATACCTACATCCAAAATTCAAATCAGGTATAGCTACTTACTGAAAAGCATTCAAAATGGCTGAGTGTACATAGTGGACAAGTTAGTGGCAACTTTACCTTTTCACTATCTTAATTTATAAATTATTCAGCAGTCAGTGACATTTTTCTGTTTGCAGGCTAGAATTACCCATCTTGGTTCAAAGCCGGTGATAGGATCCAGCTACCCCTACCACTTCTTTCTTCTGTGGCATGGAGGAAGCAAATGGTTGGGGGAAACAACAATTTAATAAATCAAGCTAGTTTGCATGGCCAATCTGTAATAAATCATGTCATCCTTCCTGTTACTTTATTAACTGTCTATATAAAAAACCTGATCTCTGTTACAACTTATGAAGTTTTTTATACAAAACCAAAAATTTGCTTTATCCAATAGTGTTGTGTTGTCCACTCAATCAGCATCTAAAGAGACAGAATACAATTCAACAGTCAAAAATATTAGACTGAGTGTTTTTGGCTATGTCCAATTAACCAAAAAACTACAACAAAGATGGACTTTCTTTTGAATAAAGTTCTGACCCTCCAGAAGACACAGCTGTTTGAGAAAAATGTCAAATGAAATACAATAAAAAATTATTAGACAGACAGACATAGACTTTGTAAGAAAAGCAAAAATGAGGTAACAAAAAATCCCTGGTATCAAAACAAGAAAAAAAGTGAAATCATATTTTCTCACTGCCCCTAGGAAGTGGCAGGCCAGTTACTGCCCTGGTGAAAGGTGGGTTGGGGCACTTTATAACCCTAGCCCCACAATTCTGGTGGTGCTCAAGTGAGCAGGGGGAGCCCAGGGCTTGGTTAAGGAGCCCTGAGGCAGAGCTCAGGCTGGAGGAGGGACCTGGGGCTGTATCCAGGTGGCAGAGGAAAGCCTGGGGGTGCGAGCCAGACCCTGTGTGAGAGGGGCGGTGAGCACAGTGACCCTGTGTGAGAGGAGCGATGATTAGTGAGACCCAGTGTGAGAGGGGCAACAAACAGAGTGGCCTCATGAGTGTGGGTGAGTGAGGAGGCCCAGTGAGGGCATAGTGGCCTGGTAAGGGGCTAGGAGTGAAATAGGCCTACAGTTGTACAATCTCTCAGTCAATGTTCAGGTTAGGGTAGTGGGAGATACGCAAAAGACTGCCCCAGGCCTAAAGGCGAGGAGAGCTAAGCCGGAGGCCATGTGGCATGAGTGTGGCCCCTGAGAGGGCAGTCTGAAAGGCTGGGTGAAAGCCAGCGAGTGAGTGGGACCCCAGTGAGAGAGGGGTGGTATGTGAGTGGCCCTCCGGGGCTGTAGAAAAGAGCTACAACTGTGTGCCCAGTTTGCTCCACCTGTAGGCTGGACAAGTAACACCAGAGTAACATCTGTGAGACATGGGACCCATGGAGGGGAGGTCGGAGCGGGTATTAGGCCCTTGTCAGCAGGGCGAGTAATGGGTAGTCTCCCGCCTTACTAACAACTCTCATATTTTTCCATCAAGGTGTGGGAGGTGAGCAAAGCAGGCGGTTACCCCAGGGTTACCCCAGGACCATGGCAGCCAGTGAAGACCTGATGAGAAGGCCACCCTATTACAGTCCTGCAAACACAAAGACATCAGCCCCATTGAATTGAGTGGAATTACAAGATTATGGTCTAAATTTGCAGTAATTTCTGGTATTTAATTTCGCACTTATTTCAGATTTACCATTTAATAAAGCAGTCACCTACACTGATAAAGTAAACTTTAAGTAACAGAAGTACCTGAAAGGATGGACTTTAGTCCACTAAAGTCCCTATCTGTTTTCTGTAAACACTTTTAGCCTATTCCCCAGAAATATGATCAGATATCCTTCTATTATATGCCTGCAATAGACAGACCAGCCTCCCTGAAACCTAAATGGGGGATTTGATATTTCCCTCATCTTTCTGGAAAAGAAATCCACACCTATCCTGCTTCTACCCATAATCTTAACTAGGTTCCAGAAATCATAAGCTATACTGAACTGAGCTGACAAAGTTGTAGTCATAGGAATCATATGAACATAGGGCTAGAAGGGACCTCAAAGTCATCTATAGTGCAGGTGGCTCCTCAAGACACGACAGTTTTAGTGGCAGTATAAATTAAAAAAAAAAAAAAACACTGTGAAGCAAATTTATACACAAGGTTAGTTTCTCTTTTTGATGTCTCCCCTGCATTCTGAGAGAGGTCACTGCAGAAGGGATCTTGTTTTTGAAATAAGAAGTGCTAAAGAAGCTCTTCTAAAATGTTTTTCGTCGCCACCTTTTTTCTTTCTGCCTTTAATAAATGTCTCTTTTGTTCTTGTGCTTTAATATTTTGAATATTTCTATAATTTCTTAATGAGTTAATAGACTTCGAGGAGTGGAGATGAAGATATTTAGTAATTAAATGTAAGTTATTGCCTTGACAATGCAAGATTGCTAACTGCAGGAATTTTTCAGGTTTTCCATAATTTAGTTTTAAAATGCTGCACACAGTAGCATACTCAACATTACCCATAGAAAATTGTTCCACAGCTTACTCAGCTTTACTATAAAAATGTTTTTTCTTATGCATAATGTAAGCATTTATGATCAGTTTCCCTTCAATTCTCCTATGAATCTTTAACTTCTGTACATCTTTTGTATTTATATCTTTCAAACACTTGTAAATTTTATATACCCACTTCATGCTTTACGGATGACTGTCAGCTTCCCTCATAATCCAGTTCCCACAGTCTGCAAATCACTCTTGTCATCTCTGAACTCCAGGCTCTTGTAATACGAAGCCCAAAGAATGGGGTTTGCAAATAGAGTAAAATCCCTGTTGTTAGTCCCCGACTCCATGCGACACCCAATGACTAGGGAGACAATGAATCGATGCCATCAGGCATCATCTGCACACATTGCTTGTCAACAGCTTTATTCAAAATGGAGACAGCTTCAGGCTAGCTCCAACAAACCGGGGAGCCTCAGTGAACATTAGGTTTTTTTTTTCCATATTTATACACCTTGGTTTATACTCATTAACATTTACCCCACCTTTGTCCCTCCTTTGTTCCACCTTTAGTCCTTCCCATTTTAAACTCCACCTCTGTTTTACTGTTTGTTTCATTAGCATGGAATTGCTTATGTATTTTACTTATTTATCTTTTCGCATGCATAAGACCCTGACCCCACTTCTTCGGTCACTTGAGCAGGCTTCGACTAAAGCATGGAAGCTTCTGGAGGCTTCTTTACCAATCACCATTCACCTTTTTGCATATGTTTATCTCGGATTTTTTTTACCAGTTACCTGTTGTCTTTCACATTCCAGTCTGTTTTTCAGTCCCAGATTGTACCATCTCCACATTCCTAAGACTTCACCTCATTCACAGCACACAGACTTATACAGACTCACTTGAAAATGGTTGACACAGCTGAGATGGCTACTTAGCATAAGCATTCATAAGCAAAATCTGGTTTACCTTCCAATGATAACTGGCATCCTGTTTCTTTTATACAATGAACTATATATCTTGCAACACTACTATAGCGTTAAGAAAATGCTTGCCTAAGCATCTTGCAATGTTACTTTTAACATACCATTCTGCCTTGTGGTTAGCAGCTCTTCTAGGCCACAGGTTATAGCCTTTTATTCAGCTGCAGATCCAATGCTTCCCAAGATCCAAATACTGTCACCCTAACACCTGTTATCCAGCATTCTACAATACTCTATTAACTGGTATTTGGCCGGCTGGATTCTAGGGAGGGCAGGGAAAGCTTGCATGCTGCCACTGCCGCCACTCTGCATGCAGCCACCGCCACCTCCCTTCCCGCTCCCCACACCCCTCTGCTCTGTGTACGTCCACCGCCATTTATTCCCCTCCACCCCATCCACTGCTCTGCATTATCTGCTTCAGATAACCAGAATTTTACATAACCAGCACCCAGCATTCCCTACTTATGCCAGATAACAGGGATTTTACTGTACATTTAAAATATAAAGATCCTAACAAGAACTTTATAGCAAAAAAAGCATGAAATTGAGAACTAAGTTTCAGTTTACGAGAAATCCAAACCTATGAAAGAAAAAAAAAATTCCGTTATAATTTGGTACTATATGCTTCAACCCTGTTAGTCACAAGCAGAGATTTCTGACTATACACTCAAGACTCCTCCTAGTAATATCTCTGATCAAGGACCACATATATAAGGAGTTTAATGAGAATTAAATTATTTTGGACTCTCACAGAGAATAAAATAAAAAATTTTTAAAGTTACCTGGACTTCACTGCTTGCAGGTTTGAGCAGTTAGATCTTGGACATAATCAGGGAAATATTCAAAGCAATCCCCGTAGGACACTATTTTTATTCCATGAAGAAGCATATCTGTTTGGAGTTTAAAAGTGTTTTTTGTTTTCTTTAGGCACCAACCTGTAATGTTCTAAATACACTTTATTCTTTACAGTATAAAGAAAGAGACCTTGGAATATCTACTCATGCAGAGTCTCTCCGCAGCCCCAAAACAAGAATGATTTGGTGTGATACAAGTTTTGAAGAACCTCCTGTTAAGAAAAATGTAAGGTAATTTCATTTCAATAATTGTAGACCAGATGCATGCATCAAAGAGAGACTATTTTTCAAGTTCTACATACTTAAAGAAATGTTTGATATTCTCAATCATTGCATAAATAAGGATTTGTTTTTAAGAAGAGAACAAATAGGCATTTGTTCCAAGAAGTTATTTCTTTAAGCACTAACTTTAAGACAGGCTTGAAATCAATATGACTGCTCAAAATTAAGGCTTACAAACATACAAATCTTTGCAGGATTAGAGCTTTATACGCTAACCATATTTTAAAGAAGGAAAATGATAATTAGGACAAAGCATCATTCTGCTAAAGTTTGTCTATGTAAAGGAAAATATATATATTCTTGGGTAAAGTCTGAAAATTTAATCCATTCATACACAAAATGATATGAATGCTAAAATATCTGGATATTAAAAAGACAGAGAACAAGGATCCAGATTTTGTTTAATTACATAGTGAAGAATCTTTATATTAATATAACATTACTGTACACTGCAGACTGTATTTGGGTACCACAATAACTGACACCTCCTTTATGATGGCTGACACCTCCTAAATGTCCTGTCCTTTATGAGACATCCAGACATTTTATTGACCTCAAAAGTTTGACAAAACCGAATATGCTGTTGGATTAAAATAACACATAACATTACTTTAGGATCTTGAGTAACATCTTTATATCCTGAAGGATCTAACACCATTCCACAGGGATCAGTACACATGCCATAAATATGAATATGAAGAACCCCATGATTTATATGGCCTCTTGCCCACTGAAGAACCTAAAGCAAATCAAGCATGTTATATTAATTCTTTTTATTATGCTTTTAAGAATAGGGAAGCTATATATTTTCGCAGAGGACTAAAATTGATCTTTATTCTTTTTGTGTACAAGGTGACAACAGTAGCTACTATTTGCATAAATTACAGAAAAATTAAAAAGCCAAAACTTTGAATCAGAAGTGATTAACATGTAAACTATAAAATGATTAACAGGTTATTCCTTACACTGTATTCCTAAAGGCTTTTCACCCAGCATTAAACCTTTTTAACCAAACAAAATCTTTGTTTTAATTTATCAACAACACTGTTGTATTTCACAAAAAACCAAACCAAACAGTAATACACAGAAAAGATCTCCATATGCCTAAGACTTGTCTTTAAAATTCTTCTTTCCCTGTGAGTGAGTGAAGAGTTACTCCTTCCACTAGACTAAACTACATTCCATGCAAGGGAACTATTTCTTACCTATTTTATAGGTAAAAAGCTAATACTAGCAAACCATATCACATTATTCAAAATAAATAGTTAATGGAATAACCTTCTGCTTTTTGTTTCCTGTTACTTAACTGAAATGTTTTAAGCCTGACAGTTTTCTAGAAATGGAGGGGAAAAAACCACAGAAGGGACACCTCCCTTCCTTTATGAGACATCCAGATATTTTATTGACCTCATCGTACCTTATCCTTATGTTTCAAGTCTAAAGATTCCATAGGTTTGCCTTGCTGCTGATCAAGAATCTCAAGTAAATGTCATAGTTCATAGTACAGATCACGGTGCCTCTTTCCATGAGTCGGAGGATTGACTGCAGAACAACAGGATTCTAAATATGTTGTTCCAAGTTATCAAACACCTCCATTAATCAATCTTGGAAAAAGTTGAGCTTGGTGTCATCTGTGCGCTGAAGAAAAAAAAAATAAAAGCTATACATGTCAAATGGCCTGTGTTGTATATTGTTACTGCCCACAACAGGACATCTATGGCACTTAATCATTTATACCAGTGTTGTCTGGGGAAAAAAGTATTTACAGAAATAGTTATATTTAAGGATATTGTACAGTATCTAAAAATATTAGAATTTGAACACACAAAGAAGATGTCAGAGATAAGCTCAAATGGCTTCAAGCTGCCTGGACCATGTCATCTATGTAGCTGAGTTGTTTTTCATTCAAATTTCTAAAGTCTCTTGACAGGGAATCATCTTGTACAAATGTATAGATTCTAAGGAGAGAAATCTCTGCTGTAGTTTTCCATAGTTAATTCTGCTTTTGTCACTTCCAAACTGTAACATTAAAGTGCACTCCACTCAATTCAACTACTGTAGTATGATATGGTAGACTGGCAGCGGTCCATAACATTTCATAGACTGCATTGGTTTCCTATTCACAATTAAATGTTGCAAAGCCCTATACAATTAAGATCCCACCTACATAGGAAATCATCAGTCTGGATATGCTGCCACTGCTTTTGTGGTCAACTGACATGCTAAAACAGTGGTTCTCAACCTTTTTTAGACTGAAGACACCCATCATTAGACTCAAGGTACTGCTCATTTGATTCAAGGAATCCTTCGGAAAATTCCAACTCTTAGTTTACAATAATGTTTTAACTACAGAAAAATAACAGAGCGAGTCCTCTGTTGCAAAGAACTCAGAAAGACCATGGCAGATCAAAATGTTTTTGAGACTAGGGATTCCTATTTGAAATCTCTGGGTTTATCATATGAATTACATTTGCACCCTTAACAGTGCTGACGTTGTGTGGCATCCCACAGCACCTTGAAAGAATCAAGGCATGTCAGGGTGTTGGAGCATCCTGGTTGAGAAACACTGTGCTAAAGTTACCACTCCCTAGGTTTAAAAGTATGAGGGCTCCTAGCAGAGAGTTTTAAATGGCAGGTCCCTGTCTCTAGAAATCATTCTTTTGTGTCGCCTGACTGAAGCCAGAGCTTCTTGACTTTGAGGACATCCTATAACACCCATTCCTATACTGGCTTTCCCCAGGGGATTGAACTATATATGTATTTGTAGGTCCATCTCCGATTTGGAGTTCAAAGTATACTCTATACTATATCAATAAATCTGCCATTGTAACTGTTTCAGATAAAAGATTTGAGAAAATCCAATAAAACGGACTAAAAAAGCCTCCTCAAGCAAAAACAAAACAAAATGAAACAAAACAAAACCCATCAATAGCCAAGTCAGATACAGGACATATATAAATTACATTTATTTGAAATAAATGGAGTTGGAGCAATAATAGGCTTGTGAGACATAAGGCTATCAATAATATCAAGGTCTGTCACTGTTTCCAAAGAATCTCTGTTTTCTGCCAAGTACGTTACTAACCACTATTTCAGTTCGGACAGTACTGACAGACTCTATCATAACTCAAGTAAGAGTCTTGAAAGTTAGCATAATCCTCTTCCCCAGTTTCCAGATTATTTTATTTCATAGCTTTCAAATTAACACAAGTAATAATCAACTATCTTTATACTGCAATAATGCCTAGAAGTACCCAGTTGCTGAAACCAAAGCCCAGCTGTAATAAGTTGTCCACAGTAATGCAAAAACTTGCTGCCCTCAAAGCACTCTCCACCTAATACAAATACTTTTGAATAGTAAGTGTTATATATGCACTCACTGGTGACATCTTTCTGATAAGATCATGTGCCATTACAAGCAAGTGTCTGTCTCTGATCACCCTTTTGCAGAATTCAGCAACATCTTCTGGATGAAGCACATCCAACTGTTCAGCTGCTTTGATGAAAGCTTCAATGCAGCCCCTCCATGAACACAGTGCTAGTATTCTGGCACTACAGTAGCACTCGCTCTAGTCCCAATTACACAAAGAAGGTCTTGAGGCTGCTTTCTTATTAAACTTTTTAAAAACTTCCTAAAATAAAAGCAGAAAAGGAAACAACTTTCAATCATTAATTCCAACAGTTCAATTCAAACTGGCAATCTAGAAATGAAATGATGTATTGGCAGTTATCAATGGGGCATCCCATCGAGTCAGCTTTTCAGCAGTGCTTTTAAGAGAGCTGAACTGCATGGTACTGTTGACCAACAAGTTAATGCACATTCAGAAATGAGTGACCCAGTGGAGATATTTCCAAAATACCATGGAACAAGGTTGCAGCTGATCCACATATAAGTCAGCCGGTGCTAAAGTAATGTATACATAGTTGTGGTATGAAAGATGATAGCTATATGTATTCCCCCTTCAACCTAAAGGGTGGATGCATATAGGAAGGATCTCTGAAGCAATCAGAGCTATCAGAGATACACTGTCCCACATCTAAGAGTATTTGCTTTAAAAAAGCAGTATTTAGCATTCAGTTTGTGTTTTTATTTATGATTACCTAATTGTTTCTTGCCCAGTTATATAAGGCAGAAAATTTCTGAACAAAAGTTAACCAAAAAACATTGTATCAGTTGCCCTCAATATTAGATATACAACAGTAAGAACAAGAATTCTTAAGAAAGTCGATCAAGAGACTTTCTGCAAAGCTAACAGTAAACTCCATGCCAGTAATAACATTCTCTCTATTTACTCTATTATTCCAAATCCATCCTTTGATGTAGAACACTTAGTAAGAAGGGATATCCCTACCATGTTTCAGGGATATGGCTTGTAGCCGTGTTTGTCTAAAAAGCAGAGGCAGACAAAACTCTTGGTCTTTGAGGCGATATCTTTTATTAGACCAACTAAATAGTAGCAAAAAAAATTCTCTCATTGCAAGCTTTCAGGTCCAAACACCCTTTTGTCAGGCAGAGGAGAGTTCAAAGATTGTAAAAGTTCTCCCAGGTAGAAAAATAACTTCAGCTTGTACAGGGGAGGTAAAGAGTGGCGAGGTTCCCATGCTTTTCAAAGTCCATTTGTGAAAAAATTGCAAAAAAATACAAATATAATAAAAGAAGAGTAGCTAAAAGATGTGTGGGCATGGGAGAAAGTTTTCACTAGAACAGACCCAAGTGGAAAGAAACAAGAATTGACTTTGTGTTTATATCAAAAGAAATAAGGATAAGGAAGAAAGAAACCATGCATGTAGCTTTTAGTGATCATGGGATGCTGAAGGTGGAAATGAGTCTTGGTAAGAGCCCCATGAGAGGGAAGGGACTGCAGAAGTTAAGTGTGTGGTAGTTACAAGATGAAGAAGTATGTTAATGGTACACGAGACAGTATAAAGGGGTGGTGAACACTGAAGAAATATTTGGGAGTACCAGAAAATGATGGACGATGGCAAAGAAGAGGACAAGAGAATTCTTAGGAAGGCAGGCCTAGGATGCATGGGGAAAAGAATGAAAAAACTTAGAGTGCTGCAGATAAAGACGCAGGAGCTGCTAAAGGAAGCTGCAGATGGAAGAGAGGTATGAGAAGAGCTAGAAGAAACAAGGCAAGAGTTAAAAACCTGGTTTAAAAGAAAAACGAGAGAGAAAATGCTCTCAGCACAAGCACCCTGAGTGGGGAAAAACCAAGAGTGATCTCAATACTTTTCAGTCAGAGTGAAGGCAGCAAAAGGAGAACTTAAAACAGTGCAGGAAGAAGGTGTTGCCTGGGTGGAAAAGCAGGAGCAGGTGCTGGAGGTGATAAGATCTTATAGTTATGCCAGAAGAAGGAAACAGAAAGGAAGGAAATGAAGGATTTGCTGAAAGAGACTGAAGAGAAAGTAGGGGAGGAGGAAGCAAAGAAGATGGGAGAGAAAATAAGTGCTTAAAAACCTTTAAAAGAAGGAAATCACCAGGAGCAGACCTACTGCCTGTGGAATTTTAGGAGAAGTTTTGGGCATAGGTTGTGAGAGTTATAATGGACGTTTCTGGCTTTGAGGATGAGGAAAAACCTCCAGAAGATAATACATGAGAACCAAGTATGCTCAATACCAGGTAGAAAGATCTCCAGAGTGATCAGAGGTACACTGTCCCTCACCAAAAGAGGAAAATAAAGACAGTTATAGCAAACCTAGATTCAGAGAAAGCATATGACAGAGTGGATCTTGATTATGCATTTGAAATGTTAGGAAAAATGAGGTACCTAGAGAAAAGTGTATGTTAGATAAGGTTATTGTACAGAGAAGCTGAGAGTCAAGTCCAAATTAATGGGCACCTGAGTGGGGCCTTTAAACTCCATACACAGGTGAGACAAGGGTACCCGGTCACCACTACTATTTATGTGCAGCATAGAACTGTTAGCACAAAGAATAAAAGAAGATGAGGTTGTAGACAGTGGAGTCCTGGCATTGTTACACCTGTGTAGGATGGCTGGAGGTTGGAGTATTCTAGAACATTTGAACTCCTAACCTTAATGATGTCATGGCCCACTTCTGAAAGCTGAGCATGTGCAGTGAGTTGTTTGACCTAGTTGTTTGTTTGGTAACTAGGGGAACTGTGGTAGTTAGGACCATTATGTTAATGAGTTGTTATGGGTTGTTGGGATACTTTGATTTGTATAGTCCTAACTGTGATTGACTTTGATTGGCATTGATTGAGAGAGTAACGATTTGATCTGCACGTGATTGACAGGTGGCGTGGTTTGGATGTTATAAAGCCTGTTACGAAATGTTATGGACTCCTGCCAGTGTAGCGGCCAGCACAGCTTTTGGGGGCCGTTGTCATTGGAGTTAGAGCTCTGTCTCGCGCTCTCTCCCTCTTTTGCCTGGTGTGTGTGCATGTGCAACCAATTTAGCATTTGAGTACTTGTGTTTGTGGAACCCGTCATTTAGCAACTGTGGAGCGAGTGAGAACAGTGTGTGTGGGACAGTGTTCAGGAGCAATGACAGGAGCATCCTGAGCACCTGCCGGCTACTCAGCTGCTTCTGCGTGTCACATCGGTTGGGGTATCCTCTACCCCTTTTCTGAGGTGCTTAGTACCCACCTGCTTATGAGGGAACAGCATAGAAATTCTCAGGGGTGTGAGGCTGCAGAGCAGGCCTTCCCTGCCTGTCAGCTCTCTAGGGTGATAGTTGACCACCTTGGGTGACAGACTGGCATCGAGTTCTTTAGCTGTTCCATAGTTTAACTGTTTATAGTACTGTATACTGTGTCTGTATACTGTTGTGTTTGGTTTTGTTGGTTCTTGTCTTAATACACTTGTTAAACTTTATATTTGCGTGGGGTTTTGCTTGGTATTTTGCACCTTTGGTTGGGGCCAGGCAGTAGGTCAGTTTCCAGAGGGATTTAACTCTATGGTGTCTGTCACGGCGGGGTCCTCCAGGAGGGCCGTGGTCTCCTTAAGGCCCCCTCTTCCGTGCCATCTCGGCCCAAGGGCACCCTCGGTTTCTCGTCCGCCACGTCTTCGATGTTTAAATCAGTTGGGAGACTGCCTTACACCCTCTTGGTCACGTCTCTATGTTGATTCGGACCCCGTGGTTTCCTGGACTCCTCGTGGGTCTTGTCCTGCAAATGGGTGCTTTGGGGCACCCTAGCCTTATGGGCTATGCGTGGCTCCAACCATCCCTTATACCACGCCCCAAGCCTCGCAGTTGGAATGGATGTTGGTCTGTCGAATACACTCGCCTGCTCTCTGGGGCCTCCTCTGTACTCTTGCTCGCTCTCTGGGGCCTCCTCTGTACTCTCAATAAAGCCGCCCCTCTCCTGGGGACTTCTGTGCCCACTCTGGGCCTTCTCTGTAGTGCCACCCCTCTCAGGGTCCTTCTCGATAAAGCCGCTCCTCTCCTGGGGACTTCTGTGCCCACTCTGGGACTTCTCGGTTATGCCACCTGTCTCTCAGGCCCACCGCACTGCTACCCCCTTTCTCCCGGGCTCACCGCACTACTACCCCCTCTCCCCGGGGTTTACCACACTACTACACCCTTCTCCGGGGTTTACCGCACTACTACACCCTTCTTCAGGGGCTCACCATGCCCCACACTGGGGCTTCTCAGTAGTACCCCTTCTCCGGGGCTCGCCACATCCGCACTGGGGGCTTCTCAATAGCGCCCCCTCTCTGGGGCTTGCCACGCCCACACTGGGCTCCTCAGTAGTGCCCCTCCTGGGGCTCGCCACACCCGCACTGGGGCTTCTCAATAACGCCCCTCTCTGGGGCTGGGGTCTAAGCACCCCATAAGCTGCACCCTTACTGGCGCTGGGGCCCCCACACCACTGTGAGTCCCTACAAGTACTCTGTGCCCTCACTGGCGCCGGGGTCCCCACGCCGCTGTGGGTTCCCCATGAGGCCTCCTCCAACCCCTAATGGCCTCACCCTAGCCACCGGTGTAATACATAACAACAAAGCAAACACAAGCCTCTTGGCTACAACTTAACTTAAGGCCGCCTGGCTATAACAACATTGCTCCAATGTCCCAGAGCCGCCATCCTTTACTCGGCTTGAGTAGTACCAGTGGTTCTCGCATCTTAGCTTCAGGAGCTCCTCTCTGTCTAGCTGCTGGCAGGTAACTACTAGCCTGGCCTCAGCTCCTGGGCGAGCCAGGCCCTGCCCCTTAGGGTCAGCTGACTTCCTGGTTGCCCCAGGCAACCCCCAGCTGTGCTCATTATTCCCTGCTAGGGTTCTCTCCCTGGCAGTTTCCCCTCTCTAGGAACAGGGCACCTCAGTGCTCTGTGACAGTGTCCCTCAAATCTAATAGGGAGGTTGGTATGGTATAGAGGCTTAACAGCCCTCTGTGTGTATTTCAGAACGTGGGTGGGTGCCTGAAGTGGTCCACGGGGTTCTCTGCTCAATTGTGGTGTGCCTGCCTGCTCTTTCCCCACTCTTCAAGTTCATCAGCAGAATAAAGATATGCGTATAGGGTGAGGTAAAATGTATCCTATACATGGATGATATAAATGTTATAGTTAGAGATAGACTTTCAATAGACAGGGTTCTAAAGCATACATCAGAGTATGGAGAAGTAATCAGAGCTAAACTAAATAGATCAAAAAGCACCATAATGGGAGTGGGGAACTGGAGAGACTTCCAGAAGTTGGGCCTTCAAATAAGAGAGAGACAAATTAGAATGCTAGGGATCCTGATGGACACAGAAGAAAAAGGTAATGCATAGAGATGCATCAATACATCAGTTCATATTGTATCAGCACCAATAAAAGAAAAACTGACATTACCAGCAATCAGCTTTTTTGGCCGATGTAGTTGATAATGTCGCCGATAAATGCCGCATGTATGTACTTAGCTGCAGCATGCATACGGCTAGCCCAGCAGCTTGGAGAGCAGCATCTGGCTGGTAAGTCTATGGGGGGTGGGAAGGGCATGGGAGGCAGAGCAAGGCCCCCATGGTGAACGAGGAGGGGGGCTGGGGCAGGCACTGCCCAGCCGGGGTGGGACAGGGTGGGGTGTGGGACAGAGCCACAAGCAGCTTGTCCAGGGGACACGGGGAGGGAGGTGGTGGCTCCTGCCACTTCATGCACCCCTGGGGGAGCATGGGGGCATGTGACCCCTGGATCTGTGCACTGGGTGAGGGTGGGCTGCTGCTGCAGGCTAGGATGGCACCAGGCTCTTCCTGGCAGGGGGGTTGAGCTGGGGCTGCACTCAGTGGGGTAGCAGTGGTGCTGGGAGTGGCCTGATTGCAGCCCTGGCCCAGCCTGCCTCCAGCAGGAAGAGCCCAGTGCCACCCCTCAGCAATCTAATCCAAGTTGAAGTATGTTGTTTAAAGGTTTAATATATGTAGCTGTACTTTTCTGGATATGTAGTTGTTTCTGTGATATGAAGTCTTGGTCAAACAAGGATGCTCAATATGTTGAGTTTTCCAAGCGCAGACTGATGAGTGTGTTTTTAATAAAATTGCTAATAAAAACAAAGGTTTCCAACAGCATGTTTGCCCAACATGGGCCATGTATTTTATAGTCATTAGCAAGAACATGCTGCTTTTGGCAGCAGCGTTATGATAAAAAGGAACCTCATTACATTGTCTATGTGAATGTAACATGAGGGGCTTTTTCCCCCCCATGCTGATTGGAGGAAAAAACCCTTATCTTGTATTCGAGTAAATATGGTATTTTCTACTTCTGGACATGCATGATACTTGTATCTCATAAATAACTGGCCAAAGTATGAAATACCTTGGAAATGGAAAGGTATCTTGAGAAGTAACAGCTCAACTTTCCCAACATATCTAGTGTCATTTTATAAACCCAATTTAAAATACTTGAGTTACATTCTTTTTTTTTTTCCCTAATGAATGGTTTAATTTAAGAAAAGTCTAACAACTTTTCTTCTTTTTCTTCCAACTATTTTCATGGGATATTTTGATACTGTTCTTACGCTGTACTTGTGCCAAGATTAAGTCAGACCATGGGTAACAATTAATTCAAGAAAATTTATCATTCATGTTCTTGTTGCTGGTGGTCTTAATTTTTGCAAATATTTAAATAAATGTATGCATTGTGTAGTTGTACAGACAACCTCAGAAACTAAAGTTCAAACCTCAAAGGGATCCAGACTGGAGGACCCATCTTCCCTTAAAGAATGATTGCAAATATGCAGATGTCAGAGGAAACCTTTTGAGGTTTTGATAATAAGCAAATAGAAAGAAGCCAAGGAAGTAAAACAGTGTACAAATAAATTCTACAATGCTTTACTTTCACAGAAGCACTCAAATGCAATCATCTTTTCCTTGGAAAAGTATTTTTGAAAGAAAAGTAACAGCTACAGTTGACTAAAGAGTTTCCATGAGATTCCCCAAGAAGCAGATTCTCATGAATGTGTGTCCTCTATCCCTTTGTCTAAATCATCCACAGGTGCATTATTTACAGCATTTACCTGGATTTTTGTTCACTTCTGTTTGTTGTCCTTTCTGCTGAGTCTATCCTTGAATACTGTTAATAATATTAAACCAAATTTTAATACTTTGATTTATAAATATTGCCTCAAAGAAACAGTTATCTCCAAAACTGAACCCTGAAGTTTTGATCTGTCTGTGCATTTCCAGTTTATTTTCATTAAACTTTTAAAATAGTTGTGCAAACTTCTCTCATTAGACAGTTAATGAACTAATACAATTACAGGAAAGGAACTACATCACCTTTCAAAACAAACAGACCAAATGTTACAGCAGTTTAAGTAGTACAAATTGTCAGAGCTCCTCTGACTTAAGCCAAACGACCCTCTGAAGGCAATGGAACTGATGTAGCCTGTCTAGATTCAACACAAAAGACTTATTTTTTAAAGTTATGTCTGGGCTCCCTGAGTGCCAAATCTGTGTGGTATGTTGAGGCAAAACAGTTCATCCAAACAGCTCTCTGTTTTGTTTGCCTTCCCATTTCTAAAAAGCACATGCAATTTGTATGTATAAACTTGATCGCTTCTCATTTAGGGTCTTTGTGAACAAATGGTTAGAAAACATTTTAATTAATTTGGTATGCTTGATTTGTTTCAACTCTTAGCTTCTGCAATTTGCCAAACTTTAAATCTGATCATAAAAAACAAACATGGTACTGAAAAGAAAAATAGCAAAAAGTATTTGAGATGTTGCCTTGGTTTAAGAAAGAGTCAAATCTAACTTCTCAGAACACATATCAAAGGATCAATTTAGATATGCAAAGAAAATTAAAAAAAAAACAAACCAAAAAACAACCACAACACACTTCCCTTTTCCATTTAAAATACTTCTGTTATTTAAGAGTAACAAACCAAAGATGTCAAAAGGACAAAAAGCAGCTGGATAAGAATAACGTAATTTTAAAATATGATCCATACTTTAAAAAATATTACATATCTGCACTCTCAAACCAGTAAGAAAACATGGTAGTAAATAAGCCTTATGAAATGTCTTTCTTCACTGTAGAATAAATATTTACTGCTCTAAACTTTCATTAAATCTGATATGGTTAGCTAAATAGATACGCTTTGTTCTTTATACCATCCCTTCCCACAAGATTAGGTTTATTGTTACAAATTCTCCTATGTTGATCTTGGTGCCAAATTCACCATCCATACTATTGCCCAAGTTAATTCACTGCAATTAACCTCCTTATGAAGATACTTAAGCACGAGAAAATTAGTAAAAAAACAAAACAAAACAGCTATGCCCCCAAACAGACCACTAACTCATATTCTAGCCTACATGCCACTTCACATCCCCTACAAAGCTGAATCTATATCTTCTAGAATCACAATCATAGAAAATGTAGGTTGGAAGGGACCTTGGGAGGTCATCTAATCCTACCCCCACTCAAAGCAGGACCATCCCTAAGTAGATCATCCCAGCCAAAGCTTTGTCTAGCCAGGTATTAAAAACCTCCAAGGTAGGAGAGTCCACAACCTCTCCAGGTAACCCGTTCCAGTATTTTACTACCCTCCTAGTGAGAAAGTTCATCCTAATATCTAACCTAAACTTCCCTTGCTGCAACTTGAGACTGTTGCTCCTTGTTCTGTCATTTGCCACCACTGAGAACAGTCTAGCTCCATCCTCTTTTGAGCCCCACTTCAGGTAGTCGAAGGCTGCTATTAAATCCCCTCTCAGTCATCTCTTCTCCAGACTGAATAAGCCCAGTTCCCTCAGTCTTTCCTCATAAGTCATGTGCCCCTGCCCCCTCACCATTTTCATTGCCCTCTGCTGGACTCTCTTCAATTGATCCACATCCTTTCTGTAGCGGGGGGCCCAAAACTGGATACAGTACTCCAGATGTGGCCTCACCAGTGCTGAATAGAGGGGAATAATCACTTCCCATGACCTTCTGACAACAATCCCACTAGTGCAGCCCAGGATGCTGTTAGCCTTCTTGGCAACAAGTGCACACTGCTGGCTCACATTCAGCTTATTGTTCACTGTAAGCCCGAGCCTCTTTCCGGCAGCGTTCCCCCCCAGCCAGTCAGCCCCCCAGCCTGTATTGGTGCATGAGATTGTTCTCTCCTAAGTGCAGGACTTTGCACTTGTCCTTGTTGAACCTCATGTGATTTGTTTTGACCCAATCCTCCAATTTGTCTGGGCCACTCTGAACCCTAGTCCAACCCTCCAGCATATCTAGTACTTACTTCCCCCAGCTTAGTGTCATCAGCAAACTTTCTGAGTGTACACTCTATGCCATCTTCCAGATCGTTGATGATCGTTATTGAACAAAAGCAGCCCAAGGACCAACCCCTGGGGCACGCCACTCAATACCAGCTGCCAACTAGACATTAAGCCATTGATTACTACCTTCAGCCCTAGGCTCCAGCCCGTTTTCTATCCACCTTACAATCCATTCATCCAGACTTCCTTAGTTCCTTGATCAGGTGTGACTTGCCCTTGGTGAATCCATACTGACTGTTCCTAATGACCACCTGCTCCTCTAAGTGCTTAGAAACAAATAAATTTCACCCAACTCATAGAAACCCTATTTCTGTACAGGCTGATAAAAATGTGGGAATATCAACCAAAATGGGCCTATTAACTTATTTTCAATGAAGACTATTTCTAAGTATTTCTAAGATACAGCAAGCCCTCCACTTACGAAAGCTTATGCTATACACCTCTGGTTTAATCTATAAAGGTACAAATCTACCTCACCTTCTGCCTATTTCTAAGTCATCTATATCATCCTAGCAATTAGGTACTTTTTCCT